GGGATAAGATTTCTAAAACAAATTGGAGGGAAGTATTTCTTCTTGAAGACAGCAATAAGTGTTATGACTTATTTATAAAAATTTTCAAAAAACACTATTTAGAGTCGTTCCCATCACGGACATACCGTAAACAAAAAAGGGTGCGCAAACCGTGGATCACACATGAATACATCAAGCTTATTAAACATAAGAATAAGCTTTTTGCCAACTTTCTTAAGTCTCGTAACACGGAAGAATTAGGAGAGTTTAAGGAATTTCGAAATAAGTTGAATAAAGACATTAAAAAATCAAAAAAACGAATAATATAAGCATGCATTTGACAACGATTGCTTGCGTAGTGGTAACAAAGTGTGGAAAAAATAAACGAGTTACTAAACCAGAATACCAAGAATTATACGATCGACAACCTCGTCATAAATGACAAAACGATTGGCGGGACCGAACTCGCCAACCTTTTCAACAATTTCTTTGTTGAAATTGGAAGTAGCACCTACTGTCACGAAGCTGCTAATCGTATCCCGAGACTATCCCACACAATGTACTTGCAGCCAACATCTGTCCCTGAAGTGACAATGCTGTATCAGAAGCTGTGTCAGAAATAAAACCAATCAAATACGTTATAGACTTAATTGCACCAGTGCTTACACACATATATAACATCGCTATCTCTACTGGGTTTTTTCCAGACAGCATGCAGGTGGCTAGAGTTTCAGCGATTTACAAGAATGGAGACAAAAATAGCTTAAGCAACTATCGTGCTGTGTCAATATTGCCTATTTTTTCAAAGGAACTCGAGAAAGTAATAAATTGTCGTATTGAAAAATTTATTACAAAATACAACCTATTAACAGATCACCAATTTGGCTTCAGAAAGAGACGTTGCACTGAGACAGCACTTCTTGTTCAAAAAGAGGAAATATTACACAACTTTGAAAATAAGGTCATGGCACTGGGTATATTTCTAGATTTTAGTAAAGCTTTCGATCAGGTAAACCACTCAATTTTATTTGAAAAGTTACAACAATATGGGTTACGTGGGACAGTGTTACAACTTATTAAATCTTATTTGAAAACGCGCTACCAATACGTTGAACTAAATAAATGTAAATCACACCTTAGGCCTATTGAATATGGGGTTCCTCAGGGTAGCATACTAGGACCGATTCTCTTCCTTTTCTATATTAATGATATTGTAAGAATCTATGAGGATTGTAAATATATTATATATGCCGACGATTGCTCGGTACTTCTTGAGGGAAGAGACTTGGAGACCTTAACACGAAAGGATGATCTGGTGCAAGTTCAATAGGCTTACTTTAAACGAATCGAAAACTAAATGTGTGTTGTTCCGTGCGCCGGGCATTTTAAGAAGTATCGACGATTATATAACTCTTGGGCCATTTCAAATCAAAATCGAGAAACATATTAGGATTCTTGGTGTAATTTTTTCAGAAAATATGTCCTGGAATGAACATGTGAGAATCTTATTGCCAAAATTAGGCAGAGCAGCCGGTGTATTAAGCCGAAACCGTCACACTTTTCCTGTTAGCATTAAAAGAATGTTATATTTCGCGCTCTTCAACTCTCACTTATATTATTGCACGCTAATATGGGGAAACACAACATTATCAAACTTACAGCAAATATTCTTGGTCCAGAAAAAAGCACTTCGTTTAATAGAAAATGTCTCGTTTCTAGAACACACAGAACCTTTATTCCACAAACATAAAATCATGAAGATTCACAACATATACAAGCATAAATTACTGAGAACATACAAAAATGCTACATTAGGAAGAACACAGCTATTCGAAGAAATTGCAAATCTTCAAGAAAGTACAATTTCCTATCCTTTCAGGTATCACCCACCATACCACGTTCCTTTCTCGCGTACTCATTATGGGAAAGAAAAACTTGATTATGTACTCGCAGCCACACTAAATGAACTAGAACAAAGAAATGTTGACGTTCTTAACTTTACTAACAAAACCTTACTAGATCAGTTTATATAGATGTATTAGAACTACTCATGTTTGTATATTTACAGTAGCTGGTTTTACTAAAGTGATTGTAACTTAAAACATACATTGATGTTTTTTTTTTCATTAGAACACCGTAGTCTACATAACTACTTTTGGTAATCGCATTGTATATACTGTGGCTATATAGACTTGTTAGATGATCTGCCCTGTCACTACTGCTGTACGGGTGACCAGAGCTTAGTCAAGCTGCGCAAGCGCAGCTTTTTTCTCTGGTCCCCTATTTTCGCAGTGACAATGCACTGTATTGTCTGAAGCAAAAATAAAATTTGATCTGATTGATTTGATTGATTGATTGATTGAATATGATTATGCAAGATGCCGTAGCGGAGGGCTGCGAAAATTTTGGCTACCTCGAGTTTTTTAACGTGCACCTACATCTTAGCACATGGTCATCCAGCATTTTGCCGACATAAAAACTAGGCAGCCATGGCGAGAATTCAATCCCACAGGCTTCGTCTCGGTGGAACAACTTCAAGGGGCTGTGGATCACTTTTTTTTCAGCAAAGTAAAAAAAAAAGCTATCGATCGGTACACTCGAGCAATACATTAGAGCTTGAATTCAGGATGAATTTTCTGATGATGAGCACGATCACAAAGAACGACCACATTTGCGAGCACATGCAGTTAAGGTAAGCCTTGCTTTGAAGAAAAAAAATGAAAAAAAAATGCTCAAGGTCACTACGCGTGCTTGCGAAGGTTCGCGTCTGTTTGCTTCATCTTTATCTCCTTCCTGCGGAGCTTTTCGACAGCTCGTTGAAGGAAGAGGAGTTGCGCCTGCAGCGTGAGACAAATCTGCGTAACTCCGCTCGTAGTTGAGGTTCGAAAAAATTATTTTGCGGTGGTCGATCCGTGAGAAAACGAGCTCTCTTAATGAAGCCATCGGACGACTACATTTAGAAAAACGATGCAGGACACTTTTTAAGAGATGACGAATCTGTTTCAACGAACCTTTACTTTTCTTCTTCCAGTTAAAACAGGGATGTCAAAATGCTGCGTAATATACGAATTTTGCGAAATTTTCAATCGAAACAAATACGCGCAGGTGGAGTTCGCTGTTGTCTGTTTTTTTTTTCTTTTTGCTACATAGTGTCGTGCACACCTTTAGCACACCGCGCTTGATTTCGTTGCTGCGTTTATAAACTATACTCGGCGGATCTTCTCTACTGTTTTTGCACACACAAAAAAGAAAGGAACTACGCATACGTCTTTCTTCGTGATGGCTTTGCTGGGGGTTTTAATGGTGGCGTAAAAATGACAATGCACGTATAACGCACACCACACAGATTTCTTGGCTCATTAATATTATGTCAAAATTTTCGTTATGTTCCTGTATTCGTACAATGTTTTGTTTATGCGCAGAGTAGCAAAAAGAAGTATTTGCGAGTGCAGATATGTTCCAAACTATCCCCCGTTTATAAAGTCTGTACTTGAAAGTAATCGCTTGCAGTTGAAGTAGACGAGACCCCTGATGATCTCGTGATAGGCACGCCATGTTCAACTGGCACCTATTAACAATAAAGGTAGGTTTTGTGCTCGACAGCTGAAGCTTTAATATAGCACTGACCATCTACTTCAACCACTCATATACAATACAGAAAAAATACAGAGAACAAGAAAGAGGAAAATAGAAGAGGAAAATGACAGAGTTGGCAATTTGGTTGAGATATTCCGTCGTAAACCTAACCGCTGAGCTTTTGTCTCGTCGAGCAGTGAAACGCACAAAAATAGCTGTATTGATAACAAACAGCAAGGTTTATGAATAACAAGAAATGAAATGCATTCTGATAAAGAGATGCCGGTTGTTACGCGCAATAGGCATTAGCTGATCGCTTTTGTACGATTTTGACCTCACGGCCAGCAGATTGAAATTCCAATGAACCTACGCATTGTTTATTTACTGTGGGCCATAATGAGCAGTTTGCCCAAGCTGATGAATGTACAGTAAGCACGACAAAAATACTAGGTCAGAAAATCACATAAATGACACAATCGCTTTTTTTTGAAGTTGTGAGACCTTGTTTAGAAGGGGCTTCTCTTGTTGCCTGCTTGCGGATAGCACCGCGTTGTTTCGCATGAATGACAACACCTTTCGCCTTTGTGTTTTCTGTGAACTCCTCTCTGCGTTGTCTCCATTTCGCTCTCTCTCTCTCTCTCTCTCTCTGTGTGTGTGTGTGTGTGTGTGTGTGTGTGAACGGTTTTCTTTCTCTATACTCTAACTTTTGACGTTGGCGAACGTTGACATGGTATGCCATCAGTTTATTTACAAATATTTTAACCGGCCTGTGCTGCTGAAGCGCGATCTGAAGGTTTACATATACAGTCAAGGGAAAAGATAATCGGACGCATAGCGTTACTCTTGTACAGTATATTCCTTTAACGCTTCGGCAGGTCACAAATGCTTGCCCAGCACACCGAACGTTAAAAAAATTAGGCAGTAAAGAGTTTCAGGTTTTGCTTTGGTTACCTAAAGGGCCTATGCTTGCACAAATGCTCAAACCCAGCTTGTGCTTTCTTTTTTCTCGTAAAGCGGATTGCCTTATTTTACATGCCGAGTGGTTTGCATGCCGTAAACTGACAGACAAAAAAGCTTCTGAACTCTGCGATGTATCCTAAAAATAAATATACAGCGCCTAAACGTAGTACCCTGCCAAGTTCGTGGTCTACAGTGAATATTCGCTACTGCTTTTGGGGTTGCTACCATTATCCCTACCATCATTATGGCCTCAGGAGCGGTGGATCAATGGCTACAGCATTTTTTTCTAAAGAACAATTGCCTGCTTATGATGTAAGCATGATAAAAAATATATATGCTGATCAATATTTTTCCTCCCCGCTGCTTCAGAATAGAGTTCGCAACGGCCACCTGTATGAATGTGCTTCTGTTAGCCTACAATTAAAATTAGCGTAGCACGGGCTCTAAGGAAAGGTGCACTAGTAAGGTATGAATCAATAGCTTACCTTGTAGGTGAGATATACAACCAGACAGGCCTCGGAGAAACTTATGATAGCCAGAATAGTCTGAAAGCAGAACAGTGGAGAGAAAAAAAATGTTAGACTAGTAGTCGGCATGAAAAAGAAAGAAATGAGGAACCAAGTGTTTCAACAAACTTATTACTAAATAAAAAAGGTTTCTGACGAAAAGATAGTTTTTCCAAAGTAACGTATTATTGCGACCACTGTGAATCAATACTAAAAGCACGCTAATTGACAGTTAATAAACAAATAATCACTGTTTAACGTTTTCATTATTTATCCTACAGTGCATATCGTGATTGATAAACTAGTTGCAAAAGTCATGCGCCGTCAACGGTGAAGTTGAAGGCAATGCGTCTTACACAGAGGTATTAGGGCATGTGACCTACAATTAGAGTACGTGGCAAGCTGCATTTTATATACCGGAAACCTCTGATTGCTGTAGCCGTTCTATATACTGGAGATACGTTTGTCATCGCCTCATTTGCTATTCCTGTGCGGGTATAAGTTAGCAATATCTGCGCGAAACATCTAAACATGAAGGTATATTTCTCCCTAGTCAAACTCTCAATTCCACAGAGGACGATTTGCAGGAGAGAATCAGCCATAAATACCGTTAGCTCGGAGCTATAAGCCTTTCCGTCGTGGTTAGATTAACGGGTGCGCAAAAACATCCCGTCTGTCATGAAATCAAAGTAAGAGGTGTAAAATGAAACAGAACAGGGCCACTGAACTTCACTCTTTTTAAGAGTGAAGTTCTTAAAGCTCAAGTGCCCGCAACCCCCCCCCCCCCCCCCCCCAAGAAAAAATTACGGCATATTCACGGGGTGAATGATGATGAATGGGCGAAGCTCCGGAGGGATTCATCGGTAAACTGTGAATCTTCCGTGTAATTCGCCCAGTCGATCATCATGTAAAGACGTGAGAAACGCTGTGTGTGTATATACACAAATCAACTTTTATTTGTTCTTAGACGATGGATGGCTTGCGATGTCCCTTGCCTCGCGCGCTCGCACATCGGGATTCTGTCTGCGAGCGCGCGCTGCTGCCGCCTTGCGCTCTCTCCGCTGTGCAGCCTTATCCATCCGGCGACTCTGAGCGCGCGCCAACAGCGAACGGATTTTATTACAACGCTCCCCCTAGCGTACGTCGCCGCACTAAATCGAACGATTGCCTTCAACCAATGACACGCGCCATATTTGACATCATTCCTATTTTATAAGATCTCGCGTCTTTCATCAACTACAAGTACCGCTTTCTAGTTTATAACATCTTGCATCTTTTCATCATCAGCTACAAGTAACACCATCTAGTAAACACTACAAGAACTAAACGAGAGGTGGCTACATGCAGGAGACGGTACTGCCATCTAGTGAAGACTGCAAGAACTAAACTAGAGGTGGCTACATACAGGGGACGGTACCGCCATCTAGTGAACACTGCAAGAACTAAACTAGAGGTGGCTACATACAGGCTACAGGGGACGCACAGCCCACGCCCTAAGGAGCTTCGCCCCTAAAAACAAGGAAGTTTCGGCAGCTGCACCCAACGAGGGAGATAATCCGCGTAGTCGTCACGTTGAGTTTGCCCTCCGCAAGAGCGGAGTTCGAGCGACACAAAGCCAGTGCTCTGGGGCTGCCACAGCCAGATTAGCACGTCAGTTTTGGCGCGGGAATCTGGACATTCTTGCATGCTCTGTGACAGGCTGTGGCTCGACTCTACAGTGTCTACGCCAAGGAAAGACCTAGCCGGCATCAGTCAAGAAGGCCAGGTTATAAAGCCCCTAAAATCAACCAGCTTCGCTGTTTCTAAAGCTTTACAAGGATAGTGTAAACTTCTCCTCTTTTAAATGTGGCATCGACATAACGCAAGTCTGGCGACAAACGAGGCAACCCGCCTAACTATGTGCAAAATTTTTTTTAAAGGGAGCCTCCCCTGACCCCACTGCAAATATCGACTGAGGGAGGTTGTTAACCGGAGAAGAGACATTGCAGAAATTACCAGCAGTCGTTTGTTGAATAACCCTGTTTTTTTTTTTTGGCGAAGACGTGGTTTTTCTGGCAGTAAGGCTGCCAAAATTGGTTTGATGAAAATTTTATCGCGCTTTACATATAGTATGCTGTACGTGTAATACTAGAATAAGGACTGTTTTCAATGTGCAGGACGTATAGTTTGTTTTCTTGAGCCCTAATTTTCTTGCTTGAGTGCGTGAAATCGAGTCCCAACAAGATGAAACAAAAACTTCCTCGGAAAACTGACTTGATGAGCACGATATATTAGATTACATATAGTAGGATTGACTGTAATAAGGCCGGTGGTGTTTGGTTGAGTGGCGTAAGTTTAGGACCCGCTACCGGAAGAGAGATAGGCAATGCTCACATCTGCCTGCTCGTTCGTACAGTCAACGTGCGTGCACGTGTTTGTTATGGGCTTGTCCCGAGTGCATGCGTGTTCGAACAGGAGCCTCAATCCCGCTTCAACAGAAGGCGACAAAAGCTCTGTTGAAATTCCTACGCGACACGAACAAGCGGCTGTAACAGCAATGTCACACACCGCGAAAGACAAAACTGGACTATGACTGAGTGTGGGCACGTGTGCTGCCGAATGCGCTGTGTTTATCTCTCTTCCCTCTATGCTCTCTATCTTTCATCTCTCCCATCCCCCTCCCATGCGCAGGGTAGCAAACCGGCTGCCTATAGGCTGACTAACCTCCCTGCCGTTCTTTTCCTCCTAATTTCCTTCCTGCAATTCCGCTTCCGGGGAAAAAATGAACCAGCCGGACTACTAAAACTGGCTGTGTATACGCATTCACGTTGACCAAAACGATGGTCCGGTGGCATCCCAATTCGATGGCTTGCATCATCATCAGGAGCAGAAGAAGCAGCAGCAGTCTGACACGCCCTGTGCGGGGCAAGGGGCTCTCCCATGATCCGCCAATAAACCCGGTGTTGTGCTTTCTGCTGCCACGTTATACCTGCGAACTTTTTAATCTCATCGACCCAGCTGACTTTCGGTCTACCCTTCGTGCGTTTGCATTCGTTGGGAATACAGTCAGTTACCCTTAATGATCCCTGGTTATCTTGCTTACGGGCTATGTGCCTGGAACATTCCCTTTTCTTCTTCTTGATTTCAACTATGATATCCTCAAGTCCTGTTTGTTCTCTGATACATTCTGCTCTCTTGCTGTCTCTTATGGTTACACATATCACTCGCGTGTAGAAAATGAAGGCGTCTGAAGTGGAGCTTTGGCGAGGCTAGTTTATGCGCCCCACGTCGGTGGCACGCTGCCGCACGCGTTTCGCCCAGGATTTTTGCGCAATCCACTTTATCTGTGAATGCGAGGCCCTGTAAAAAGCCGCACCCAACCGTCGTCGCCTCTTTAATATTATTAAAAAAAGTTGCTCGAGAAAATTGAACGTCTCACGTCAATGACCCGCCTGTAAGTCGATAGCGAAAGTGCGACGTATCTATTTATTCGTTCAAGGGTGTCACTTAGGTAGGCTGTATCACTGCTTCTTTTATCCGCCACAGAGTAAAAACAGTTCGTTGCTTTTGAAAAACGCACACGCGTCGAAAAGTGTGTTGTTGGTTCAAGGAACTCGCAGTTTAGCGTCAACAAAATAAGCATTGAGAAATTGTATTCAAATGAACTTGATGGCGTTTCTTCTCGCACGTAGGCATATGCTGAAATTTCGCAGTTGTGGCAGGAAAAAAGAAAATAGCTGACCTTCACGAAAGATTGATAGATATGTGTGGTTGTAACATCCCAAAACCATGATATGATTGTGGGAGACTCCATAGTGGAGGGCTCCGGAAATTTAGACCACCTGGGCTTCTTTAACGTGCACCCAAATCTGAGCACACGGGCCTACAAAGTTGGCTCCTCCATCGGAAATGCAGCCACGGCAGCCGGGATATTTACGGAAGGCTTTGTAGATTCAGAAGAGGGTGTTTTTGAGCGACGCTTTGCAGTCCACTGTCATTTCAGTGGATGGCCGTAGACTAGCATTCTTCATGGCGTCAAAGTCAGTGATTTATTAATTGTAACAAAGCGCTGGTGACATTACTTTTCTTTCATGTTATCTTGTTCAATACTGGGGCATTTCATAAAACAAAAAAAAGTATCGTCAATCTTTTCGCAACAAAAGCTCGTATTATAGAGCAGAATACATCAATAAAGCACCAAAATTATTACGAAGAAACCTGCCTTGTATGTATACGTGAAAAATATGTTATGATTAGAACAGCGTACTTACATGCTTCTTCATAATGAGGAATCAATCAATGCTGATTTTCACTGTATAGCATCGTCGCCCAATAGATAATGCTATGAACTCATATGTTGGAATGCGCACATTTTTTCCGTTCAAATAATTCGAAATGCCTACCTCACCCGTGAACCTCAGTGAATTCGTGATAATTACGGTGGCGTACACCTAATAAATAAGCAGAATAGTGATACACTTTCTACTTATTGTTGGCGCCCAGGAAAAGCTGCGCCTTAAATGCTAGCTTCGACGCTTAATATCACGCACACAAGTGGTGTTCCAAAGGACCTAATGAAATCGCTCAACTGTTTTTGGGCAAACACGGGGCAGGAACCCTAAAATTGTAATTTAAGAACAGTAACCCCATCATATTGTCGTGAAACGATGGTGAAGTGGCGGAATAATGTGGTGCCAGGGTTTGAGATACATACCTGGATGCACCAAAGCACGAAGGGACGCTCCACCCAAAATATGGCATCCCTGCAAACACAAGCGAAAGACCACATTAAACTGAAAACAAAATAGTAATAAGAAGCGAATTTGGTAATTCCCACTTGTTTTTCTTCTTTAGTCATATTGCCTCAAAATAGTTGAATAGCTGAACAGATTGTGAAAAAGGCCATAAAAACAGAAGCAACGAGACGAGAACAAAGACAACAGACCCGTTCTTGCAATATATATATATATATATATATATATATATATATATATATATATATATATATATATATATATATATATATATATATATATATATATATATATATATATACATACATACATACATACATAGTAATAATACAGAGTAAAATCTTTACTCTGTATTGTAATTTCACACACCGATTGCAGGCTGTACAGAGGGCCTGTCACGTCACTCAGAGAAGTCACCATTTGCCCGTTCTCTTATGGGCGGAGCCAACAAATCGATCCTAATAATTTTCCTCTGGACGTCTCAACAAAGTTTCTGTCACTGTCATTATAAGCAATTCAGATATAGATGTCAGAAAATATAGTGAACGAAAAGACAATTTTCGGACGGTTAGAAACCCAGCCTTCCGATAACGCGCAAATGTTTGACACCCTTCAGCTTTCTTTAGAAGATATGTAATGGCTTTGAAAGGTGAGGGGAGCATTTTAAAAGTATAGCTAGGTGTGTTGGAAAGGCATCTGAAGCTATACAGCATTGCAGCTCTATTTGTACGTTTGCCCCTTCTTCTTTTACACACATGCATACTGGACGCAGTTTATTGCCTAAAAGCAATAAAGAAGCTCGCGCTAAACTTGCACTTCCAGCTCTTCGAATCCCCTTGCCTATTAACGCCAAAGCTTTATCTTTTTCTTCTTCTACAACAACCATTTTTTGAAGAAAGAACAGTCACTGATCGAGGTCAAGGAATTATCGTGAAGCTTCGTAATTCGGACCCGCCCAGCTAGAACATTCACACTGCTTAAGAATTCCTTGATGAGGCCGACATATCTCGTTGCAACATGCTTTATTAGATTGGTCATCTGGTTTACTATTATTATCCTCAACAAGGTGAAATTTCCAAGAACTCCCAACTTCATCACTTAACGAACAAGCAAATCCCTATGATTTTGTTTCACGGTCTCTTTTTTTTTTCTTTTCCACAATTTCAGGAATTCTCCGGCGCTTTGTCACCTATACCTCCTTGCATGCATTTAGGTAGCTGTACGCGTTTCCCACGTTAACGGAGCTGTATTTGAATACTGATGAAAAAAAATAAAATAAATAAACAAAATACTTCTTTCCGTCAAGATGCACCGGATAAGCTACAACGGCTGCCAGTGCTCATCGTTTTTATATTAATTACCACGTGGAATCTGTCATTACCACTATATGGTCGAATGCTTTGAAAGTCCGTCTGCAACCGTGATAAGCGCTGGATTGGAATGTCCCGCAAATAAAAAAATGTTATGGAAATGGATCAATATCCGAGTGGGCGAAATTATCCGAACGGCACATGGCACATTCATTTTTATTGTACGGGGACTTATAATTGCACCTGCGCAGTGACTTTTTGCGAAAACACGCCCATTCGGCTGGCGAAATCGTAATTTGAAATGAGCCCTCACATAGCCCACCGACAACCAGCCATTTCAAGCCGCGCATCTCCCCTTTAAAGCAACAAATTAATAATGAAATAAATCAGACAGGAACCCTATAAATCGAGAAGGTCTGTAAAATAATAATAAAAGTAAACTTCAGCACTATGCCCTAAAGGTGTCTCAGGCAGAACAAAGACAACTTTCATTTGTTCTTTATTCTGGCAAAGAGAGCGCAAAGTGCTCATTCAAGCACACACAGACGCAAGCACAATCACAGTTGCACTGGGTTGCAACTGTGAACATGTTTTTTTACTTTTTTTCACTGTTTCATCAATCACCCACCACATGAGTATTTATATACTTTTGTTCTTACCATGCGACTCGCGGCATTCGTCCATAATCACTATTCCATTTTTTATAGCAGCATATTGATAGACTGCGCTCAGTTAGCGAACGAGCAGAAACGGGGGGTAAGATATGATGAAGTTGGGAGTTCGGTGTTACCCTCAGTATACTTTTTTTTCTCCCCGTAGCCTTAAAATATTCATGGCCCGATTACAGACTATACTTCCACAGGAAGACACAAGGTTTTGTGATAAATGACTGTAGGCTTTAAGTGCGAGCTAACTGGCGATGTGTGGCAGGGGTCTATGCAGAGATCTATCATATTGACATGCTAGTCTTTTTTTTAGAATAGATAACATTTCTGGATTTTCATGTTCGAAAACTACGCGATGAGCATGAGGCACATCTTAGTTCGGTATTCCGAATGAATTTTGACCATCATGGGTGCCCCCATCGCAGAGGGGTGGCCAATTTAGAGCACATGCACTTCGTTACTGGGAAGCAATCAAACCAACCAAGCCAAATGTTGCTCCGCCATCAGAATCCCCAATAAAAGATGATCAGCTTTGTGCCGTCCAGTGCGCCTCAGACGATGCGCCGGTAAAGCTCAGCCTGCCCGTCTCAGAGAGGGAGCCCAATGCACGATTGTGGCATCTCTCAGGACTGTTAGTAAAGTTTGACCAACCAATCAATCTACGGTTCTTTACCGTGCATTTAACTAAAAGTACACGGATTTCACTGCATCTTGGCCCTATCGAAATGCGGCCGCCATGGCCGGAAATCAAACCCGCTACATCGAGCTTATAAGAGCACAACACCTCGGCCGATTACCACATCGGCCGAACTAAATATGCCGCGTACTGTATGTTTCAACTTGACCTAAATAATATTAACATCCTGTCTTTAACACAGTGTAAGGAGGTTTACAAAAACAGATCAGTGTTGAAGGTATTCTTTCAAAAAGTAAGTTTCACACGTGACCTTTCACATAATATAAACCTGTATATGTTTGTTGCTTGTCCGCTATAGTTTAATTGCGTTATCTGCAGTATTCTTTACGAACAAGCCCAGCTTCATACATTAGTATAAAATAAAACATGTCGTTTAACTGGCTGTAAGCGTCATCGAAACGGGGGGCAGGCGGTTTGTACGTGCACCGTTTTCAAGGTTTTCTATTGCTCAAGGCTCGATAAATAGGTTCAACGTATGCAAGTATTGTTACAGAAAACAACGCAATACTAAGTGAACTAATAAATTAACAAAAAAAGCAGGCAGCGTGTTTGCGTAAGCTCACAAGAGAGTGAGGGCTAAAACCCGTCAGACCATTTACACATGTTGTGTCTGTTAAGAAACAACGGCGACTGACAAGCTGCACACCCCAGTACACCGAACACGTAAAGCATGCTAGATGCGTACCAGTTGATGGCGCCATTTCGCACAGCTTCGTCGGTGTAACGCGAGGTGTTCTGGACGCGCAGGGGACACTGATAGCAGGTGGCGTACCGGGGTCCCCTGTCCAACGCTACTCGGCCCACGTAGAGGAGACATGCCACGATCTTCACTACGAGCCGGATTACTCGAATGCGGAGACCTGCCAAAGAGATAAACACAATGACAGTGAGAATAGTGGTTGCCTTGGGGCCAGCTTCAAATCTGAACAACAACATATGAAAGAGGAAAAGCTGTTAACGTACAGAAAAGAAAGCCAGGTTAACCAGGAGGAATCTCTGGTCGGGTACACTGTACTTAGAGATGGGAAAGAAGTGCGAATAAATGAAAGCAGAGACTAGTATCTCTGATGACACTACAGAGTCATGACAATACATGACTCTTTAAAAGTAACACACCAACGTAGTCACTGAACTTGTCACAAGGTGCCGTTCAGTCTAATTTCTGCAGAAACGCCCTCATAGGCAACCGCGTTGAAGTCCGGTTAGGCCAGAAGCCAAGAATTTTGTTTTAAATGCGAATGCATTTCTTAGTCGGGTCATGTCAGGCGTCTGGCGGGATCCGTCCATCGCCCTCTCGCATAGCAGCAGCTGCGGGCGCACGCGTTCATGCTCACCCCTAGCAACCAGATAATGTGTTGCGAGAGAGTGTAGGAGAGGATACGTGCAGTACTTTGCTGCTCTTTCTCTCAGCGTTCACTCTGTCTCCTCTACGCGCCCCCCCTGAACGTTACTAGGGTGGCTAGAATGGGGAGGTGTGATGAGCGCGGCGCATTTCGCTTGCCGGAGAAGGTCTTTCGGCGCGCCGATGCCGCTAGGGGCGCTGATGCAGCGGCACGGGTAGTGAGTGGCGCACTTCGCAAAGTTTGCCTCGGGTGCACCGCTTTTTTTTTCACAGGCGGTAGCTGCTTTACAAGTACTTTGTCAATCGGCGATTGCGCTGGGTTTCTCTGAAATGCCTGAAGGTGTCAACGACAAAAAAAAGTAGATCTAGCGTCGCTGCATTATGCTTGTCCGCGAAACTTTATGTTTCAGCTCAGCCTCTTGAAGAGACTCAGGGGTGGCAACGCGGATCACTTGGTGGAGGAGTCTCTCTGTCTGTAGAAACAATGCTGAATGAGATGGAATAAAATGAGGAAGACTACGAAAGACTTCCATCTGATGCACTAGCAGTGTCTGTCGCCCATGAATTGTACACCACTGAGCGGCGGATGGTCACCCTGTATATTATGCGGCAAGCTATGCTGTTAGAAATCTGGTACTTTGTAATAATCGTGATCAGTGCAAGAATGCCCGCCTTCTTTCCAGTGTTGGTGGTTACGCGTTATAAGTAACTCCGTTACTGGTATAGCACGCTACTTTGGCAATTAGTATTTGAAGCACTCGTTATGCATGTATAAATAGAGGTGCTGCTTAAATTGTGCGAGTTTTAGTTGTCAGAAAGTCGTTCCTGCAGCACGGTAGCACTATTTGTCAGTTCTGTTTCCAAAACAAAATTTGCTTCTGCTGATAGTACAGGTTAAGGAGCATTAAGTTTGCAGTACCCAGAAAAGCAAGGTTCACGTTTTCATAAACAGTTGCGATTCTAGCAGGCCCTGTGTAGGTTAAAGGAGGAAAAATTGTTTACAATGCAAATACCTGCGATTATGGTCCGCTTGCAGATGCAAGCTTCCAGAATTACGGTAGGTTTTTTTTTAGGTCAGTGATCATATCTTTTTGGAGAGGGTTGCCGTTGAATTAATATTTCGACTTTCTGTGACAATGAGAAATGAATTTAACATGTGCCACGACGTTATAAGCCATCACATGCGACTCTACAGTGTACATTAGGCCACTGTGTTCTACGTCCGGCATCTTGTGCAAAATTTGCTAGTTTAATTCACCTAAATTAGGTACAGTTGTTTTAGTCACAGACCTCATTTCTTTTCTTTCGATAGGTCAAGGAGCACGGGACTAAAAGCTCGAGGGATTGACAAAGTACCGACCCAGTCACAAGTTGGCAAAGCAACAATACACGACAGACATTCATAGACGTAGAATAAAAAATAAACTTGACAAGTATAAAATGACACCAAGTACGAATACAAAAGTTAAGAAACAAAGCTCCACAAATAGAGAGCGGGGGAATACATATGTATCATGACGTGGCATGAACATGAAAAGCTAAAATCAATAAGTACATTGACCGAAAGTCCGGGAAATGTACAATTAGGGAAAGTGAATGAGCTGGGCGAAGCATCTGATGTGACTATTTTGATTATTTAAAATTACATACATCTACAACGCCCTAGTTTGGGTCTTATTCGTAAGGAATTAGTTACACATAATATTATAGTGAAGTGACACAAATCATCAGGACCAAAGCTATACACTGGTACACATAGACATCACAGTAAAAGGTACAATACAGTAATACGAATTATTTAAAAATGCGCAAGACAGCCAATTTAGCGACGTTTCTTGCAATATTTAAATAGATTCATAGGAAATTCTCAATGACAGAAGAAAGGACGAAGTATCAAAGTCTTCGTAGTTTAGGATGGTTAATAGGTATAGGTAGCCTGTAGGACAATGTTCATCTTAAATACTTCTAGGAATAAGTAAAATCCATGGTTAATTCTTCATGTCTAGTGAGAGAAACAGCTGGGTTTACGTTTATCTTAGCTAGAATAATTGTGGCACTAGAACTATGTTTAACGAATGCTTTATGACATGTCAAATATAAATACGAGGTTTATTAAAATGATATTCTGTCTCCCGCAGCGCGGACGCATGGATTCAAACTTCTGATCTCGAAGTATAATCGACAAAAAATCCCAGGTGGTCGAAATTTCCGGACCCCTCCACTACGGCGTCTCTCATACTCATATGGTGGTTTTGGGACGTTAATCCCCACATATCAATCATGGAGTATAATCGAAAAAGACGTACGGTATTTTTAATTCGGTAACGGTAATCCGTTGCTTTCTGGTATGCAACATAAAATGGTAACGAGAATATTTATTGTTAGCGTAGCGAGTAACGTGTCTGGTTACTTTTTTTTTTTGGTAAGGTATACAACACCACTTGTTTCTAAACTAAATGCGCCAAGAAATCTCCCAGTCCTGGCAGAAGTGGTATCCCAGCGGAGCTTTGAAGATTGATCCAATTCCCTTGGCGCAATGTTATTGACTCACTCGATCCCACTTCTTTTTTAAAAGGCGTACACCAACCATAATAATAAAAAATGCAAATAGTAAAGCTATGAGTGCTTTAGTGCATGAACACCTGACATGCATGAAAATAACGTGTTTTTGTAGAAACTGTTCGCATGTCTGCTGCTGGAAACATCGGTATTGCGCTATTTGTGTGTAACTGTGTAACTGTGATTGATTGATTGATTGATTGATATGTAGGGTTTAACGTCCCTAAACGACCATTAGGTTATGAGAGACGCCGCAGTGGAGGACTCCGAAAATTTCGATCCCTTGAGGTTCTTTACCATGCGCCCAAATCTGAGAATGAGCAACTGTACGCCACTAAAACTGTTACATTCGGTGGCCGATAATGAACGCTAAGCGAGTATTCAAGTTGCGGCTTGCGCAAGATTATGCGTTCAGAACAGCGAAACGGGGCTCTGATACCAAAGTTTCCACTCGTGGTTGAATGAATTTAGTGTGTTCAATTTATCATGAAGCCTTACAGTAATTAACATCTCTCTGCGCACCTGCAGCTCCGCCATGAATAACCGCAATATCAGGCGATTTTTCGAGGTCAATAGATCTGAATGAAATTCGCTGGGTACGTTCCTTTCCACATTTCCGTCATTTATACCAATTTATAGGCTTCAGAGATGCGCTGATTGTTTGCAAATGAATGTGGAGGATTTCCTCGCAAAGCTCACTTCGCTTGCCAGAATTAATGGTAACACTGTCTGGGTGAAGTCATGTTTGCCATGTCAACGGAAGTGACGTAGCTGATGCCAACGGTACTTTGGCCACTACAGCGTTTGTTGTGGTGGCCACAAGGCGACGGCGGAAGTGTTCGGCACGGGTAATGCAGAGGGAAGCTTTCTTCCTTCCTGAGTGGCGTTTGGCCGGTGCTTCACTCGTCTGGCTTTCACAGTTTTCACTCTACGCGCCGGCGGGACCAATATACGGCCTCCGGTTCTTACCGAATAGTACGTCGTACGCAGAAAGGGCACCCGGTCGGGTTTCAGTTTCGCACCGTTTTGCTTATTAAAACCATTTGCGAATCTCCTGAGCATTTCAGCTATTGGTCTCGCGACAAGAGTGTCTCAGGAACACAGAAACACCATTACCTTGACATGGTCGAAAAATCGCCGGAGTTGACCTTTAAGTCCACGAAAGTTGGCGGCGAGTCTTGCTCGTGGGCATTTTCAAGAATGGTTTTCAGAGATGAGACTTTAAAGGGCTTAAGTGCCATGTACTGCCCTACACTTGCTCGATCAAAATGATTTTACCGAATACGGGTCACCACCACACAGCATGAGAGCAATTTTTGTGGAGAGCAGTGCGTGTCATCTCGTTTGTCTCCTCCGCAAAGTTACCCGCGCCGGTGCGTGCAGCGCTCCAAGCGGCATCGGCGCGCTTTGGGGACTGGTTTCGGCGGCCGCTTTTCACACCTCCCATTCTAGCCACCCTAACCTTACTAGCATAAACTCAGTTTGAATGCTCCGCCGGAGAGGCGGGCCGCGTGGTGGTCACGAGAACGAGTGGCGCTGCAGTACGATCTTGCTCGGACTATTTCTGTCACTGCGTAGTTTCTTGTACAAAAACGAGTTTCGCATGTATCAGGCGAGCGAGGAGTAGCAGATTTATCCGCATTGAGGTACGCGGACTAGCTTTGCGCCAGGCTTCAACAGCAGCGACCACAATGACGACTCCGCTTCACGCAACTTGTTCGTTCGTTTGTTTGTTTATCATTAATTTATTTTCTGTGTAAACACGGTTACACAGTGGCGTGGGCCAACATAAAAGCTGCTATAAGTAGCTTGAGAACCTCATATATGTAGCCTTCGATCTCTTTCGCCCAGCGGGGACGGGCTAGCAGACGGACGATCGTAAGCAAATCTGCTGTCCAGCCTTGCACGTTACCCGTGAGAATTCATATTGCAGTGCAAATAAAAATTATTATTATTATT